AACTCAAGCTATTAAGACTTTATCACACTTAAAACCTCTCCTCGGGGTCACCTCCAAGGGTCCTTGGGTGCCTGGTACAAGACCAGCCCCTATCCTCGGGTCCGAGTTTGTAGAGAGAGGGATCAAGAGGGACTTAGTCAAAACAGCAAGAGTACCTTGAACGTCGCGCAGCGTATCGTGCAGACCGTAGATCGGATTAAGCTGAGAATTTACTATATCAAAGCTCACTCTAAGAGCTTTAAAATAAGCCAAGTTGCCTCGCGAAAAGATTTGCCATTACGAAGTTATGGCTCGGACAGCGTTAGCCTAGCGTTGGAGTGCTAGCGTACTGGCGTTGACTCGTGTAGCATTCCGCCGTCGCACCGGGTAGAAAGGAAATTCCAGCAAGGAAGGAATTCGCTTGAATCAATTTCACTATATTCAGGTACAAACAGAGAAGGAATAAATAGCTCTAGCTAGCAAGGACCTTGGGAATCAACCTAGGAACAACCAGGGATGATCCCAAATAATTCCAAGCAACAGAACAAACCTGGCTGGACAATATAGTAGGTGGTAGGTTGGTGAACAACCTCTGGTTCTGTTATTCCAACGTGGGAAAACAACAACCAGGTTCAGGACCTAAAAACAGAACCTGTTTTGTCTTTACCCCTATAGTGCCTGCCCTGCTACACTATAGTCAACCAAACAAAACAGTACAATTTCGAGTTGGATAGAACTGAATCTGCGCAATCAAGTAAGCCGAACCACAAAGCTTCCATCTTGGGTTCCTTTGCGAGCTCGACCTTTCTGCTTGTATTGTCCATAGCGCGTAAAAGCGAAAATTGCGAAAGCAAACAAACACACGAACATACCATTCACACGCAAATGCATTCACACACGCATACTCGTACAAACAGACGGCAGGATGTCGTGCAATGTGAATTTGCACCCAACACTCCAAGCCTCTCCCCCTTCTTATTCAGCACCTCAACCCGTTTTTGCTTCACTTGTGCAGATGCAGAGTATTGAACTCCAATGCTTGGGTGAGAGTTCAGATACTTCACCACACGGTCAGCTGCATCCACCTGCTCCTCTGATGGATTTTGCACCACCCTAGCCAGCTGCCCAACCGAGAAAGAGATGTCGGGCCTTGTGTGAACTGCTGCATACAAGAGGCTGCCCATCAAGGACTGAAATTGCTGCTGCTCCTCGGCTTCAACCCCTTCATCCTCTGCAGCTTTCACAAGCTTGAATTCTGCTGGCAGGGGAGTTGCAACCTTGCGCTCATTCTCAATTCCGTACTTCTCCCCAAGCTCCTTGATGAACTTATCCTGGTGCAGCTTCAACCACCTGTGATCCAGATCCCTCTCCACGTGCATCCCGAGGTAGTACTTTACCTCCCCAAGGTTCTTGCACTTGAATTTCTTCATCAGATTGGCCAGGAGCAAAAGGTTGCTACGCCGCTGTTTTGTGATAGCAAGGGAGCTCTTGGGATGGCCAGGAACGCTGTGCTTCATGGGCTCAATAAGCACATGCGTATCAAGTGGCACTGGCTGCGTAAGGAGGTGAAGAGGGGGACCGTGAATCCGATCTATATCAAGACTCACCAGCAGCCAGCAGATTTCCTCACCAAGAGGCTTGCGGATGAGCCTCATTGGCATTGTGTGTGCATGAGTGGAATGAGCATGAACTAGTATGGAATGATGGGGATGCAGCCGGCAGGCTGACGGGAAGTGTGTTGGGTGCAAATTCACATTGCACAACATCCTGCCGTCTGTTTGTACGAGTATGCGTGTCTGAATGCATTTGCGTGTGAATGCTATGTTCAGGTGTTTGTTTGCTTTCGCAATTTTCGCTTGAAGCATTTGCAGGTACTCGCACAATGTGCGCTTTGGCATAACATTGTACGCGCTATGAACAGTACAAGCAGAAAGGACGAGCTCGCAAAGGAACCCAAGATGGAAGCTTTGTGGTTCGGCTTACTTGATTGCGCAGATTCAGTTCTATCCAACTCGCAATTGTACTGTTTTGTTTGGTTGACTATAGTGTAGCAGGGCAGGCACTCTAGGGGTACAATTTAGGTGAAGGTTGGATGTTGTTTGTCTGTATCTGCATGCTACAGGCCAGGGGAAACCAACGGAACCAGCATTTGGCTGGTTGGGCGAAGACAGAAGAGGTTCTGTTTTTAGGACCTGAACCTGGTTGTTGTTTTCCCAGGTTGGAAAAACAGAACCAGAGGTTGTTTACAAACCTACCACCTGCTGTTTTGTCCAGCCAGGCTGGTTGTGTTGCTTGAAATTATTTGGGATTATCCCAGGTTGTTCCTAGGTTTATTACCAAGGTCCTTGCTAGATAGAACTATTTATTCCTTCTGTGTTTGTACCTGGATATAGTCAATTTGATTCAAGCGAATTCCTCCCTTCCTGGAATTTCGTTTCTACACTGTGCGACGGCGAAATGCTACCCGAGTCAACGCTAGTACGCTAGCACTCCAACGCTAGGCAAACGCTGTCCGAGCCATAACTTCGTAATAGCAAAACTTTCCGCCCCTAGCCCCTGGAGCAGCCGCCCCTGGAGCAACCGCCCCTGCAGCAGACACCCCTGGCCCCTGGAGCAGCTGCCACTGCAGTAGCCGCCCCTGGCCCCTGGAGCAGCCACCCGTGGCCCCTGGAGCAGCCGCCCCTGCAGCAGCCGACCCTGCAGCTGCCCGCGACGCCGCTTCTAGTCCAGAGCCCTCGTGCTCTCGGTAGCCCAGCGAACCTGCTTCGCCAGTCGCCTGAGGGTCCGTTGCTCCTGCTGCTCGTCGTATCCGCGGAGCCAGATACTCCCGTAGTCCGGTGCCTTCGTGCGCTCGGTAGCCACTGTTTGCGCCGCTCCTGTTGCCAGTGTGACAGCGGCTTCACCTGTCGCCTCCTATCTCCACTCCTCTCACAGTCCCTCCTCCTCCTCCTCACTTTCCCTCTTTTTTTGTTGTGCCCTGCAGGGTGTACCATTTCAGGGGGTGTTCTGTAGATGGTTCTCACTGCAATCAAGTAGGGGGTGTCTTGAACTGTATTTATATATGTTCTTTATAATTGTCTGCAGTGTAGAGTGTAGCACATCCCAATTTGCTGTAGGTGGTGCACCATGCTTCTCCTTGCTATATTTTGTACTCATCTTTCTTAGTGAAGTCACTTCTTCCTGCTTCAACTCTCTCGACACCTCCTTCAACCCTAAAACCTTAGTTTTTAACCACTAAAGCTCTGGCTCCTAAGCCTAGCTGTCCTTAGTCATTCTGACAAACAATGGTGTGGAGACTAGCGGTAGCACTAGTGGAGCTGCTGGATCTGAGGGAGAAAAGCAGCAGCAGGGGAAAACTAAGAAGCCGAAGGTTGTCGTTATGAGGGGATGGGAAACACCCGTCTCCAGGCCAGGACGTACCTGTATGGCTACTAAGAATCTGACTGCATGAGCTGATGTAGCAGAGCAGCAGCTTCGGACCGAAGAGGCATTGCTGATTCTACCGCATGGCTATGATCCGGATGACGAGGATGAACCTACCTACAGTTTTCTTGCCCCTGCACCAGAGGAACCAGCTAGCATGGAGGAGGCATTAGCTCGATCAGATAGGGAGAAGTGGCTGGTTTCCAGGGATGCTGAGTACCAGAGCCTGCTAGAGAATGAGACATGGGAGCTGGTGGTGCTGCCTGATGGGAAGAAAGCCGTACCGTGCAAGTGGGTGCTAAGGATCAAGACCGATAACAAGGGACAGGTCACCATCTACAAGAGTAGGCTTGTGGCTAAGGGGTTTATGCAGAAGAAGAAGCAGGATTTCAATGAGATCTTTGCTCCCACTGCCAAACCCCCTACCCTCCGTGTCTTGTTGGCAGATTCAGCCGTTAGTGGGAAATTCATCATTCAGATTGATATATCAACTGCATTTCTTAATAGGGTTTTAGAGGAGGATGTACACATGACGCAGCCTCCTGGGCATGAGGATGGTACAGGCAGGGTGTGCAAGCTGAAAAAGTCCATCTACAGTTTGAAGCAGGCGCCACGCTGCTGGTACCAGAAGTGGGCAGCTGTTTTAGAGGAGATGGGATTCAGGACCGGCAGTTGTGATGAGAGCCTCTTTCTCAAAGGGGAGGGGGAGAAGCTGGTGCTGTTTTTGGTCTATGTGGACGACATTAAGGAGATGAAGGAGATCCAGAAGGTGCAGCAGCAGCTGATGGAGAACTTCAAATGCAAGAACCTTGGGGAGGTAAAGTACTACCTGAGGATGCACGTAGAGAGGGATCTGGATCACAGGTGGTTGAAGCTGCACCAGGAGAAGTTCATCAAGGAGCTGGGGGAAAAGTACGGGATTGAGAATGAGCGCAAAGTTGCAACTCCCCTGCCAGCAGAATTCAAGCTTGTGAAAGCTGCAGAGGATGAAGAGGTTGAAGCCGAGGAGCAGCAGCAATTTCAGTCCTTGGTGGGCATCCTTTTGTATGCAGCAGTTCACACAAGGCCCGACATCTCTTTCTCGGTTGGGCAGCTGGCTAGGGTGGTGCAGAATCCATCAGAGGAGCAGATGGATGCAGGTAACCGTGTGGTGAAGTATCTGAACTCTCACCCAAGCATTCGAGTTCAATACTCCGCATCTGTACAAGTGAAGGAGAAAGGGGTTGAGGTGCTGAAAGAGAAGGGGGAGAGGCTTGGAGAAGGCAAGCTGTTTCTCACTTACTTTACCGATGCTACGTGGGCCTCTGAGAAGGAGGATTCCTCATTTGTGGGAGGATACATCTGTGTATTCTTGCTGTTTTGACTAAGTCCAACTTGATCCCTCTCTCTACAAACTCAGACCCGAGGATAGGGCCTGGTCTTGTACCAGGCACCCAAGGACCCTTGGAGGTGACCCCGAGGAGAGGTTTTAAGTTTGGTAAAGTCTTAATAGCTTGAGTTTATTAGGCCCTTACACTAACATCCTTGACTCCCTTCGTATTGTTAGGAACCAGTTCCTAACCCTTGGCCCCACTGAGCTCACGCTTGACTCGCTCGAGATGTCCCTTCTCGAGGCTGAGAAGAGCATTGTTGCTGTTGCTGCCTCTTGCGGCACTTACCGCTCTCCCTTCTTTGAGGGGTGTGCTCCCTTCCCTCTCCTCCCCTCTGTTGCTTATACTGATGCTGTCGACCTCCTTGGTGCTGCGGAAGTTGGCGCTGCGTCTGCTCCTAGTGGGAGGCACAACAACAGCAAGGGCAAATGGGGCAAGGGTGGCAGGGGCAGCACCAGCAATGGAGGTGTCAGGGGTGGTGGTGGCGGGGGTGGAGGCGGTGGTGGTGGCGGGGGTGGAGGCAGTGATGGTGGCTCTGGGGGTGGAGACAATAGAGACGGACGGGGTGGTGGAGGCGGCGGGGGTGGTGATGGCGGCTGGGGTGGTGGAGGCAGCGGGATGGTGTTGGAGGTCGGGGTGGAGCTGGCAAGGGGGGAGGCCGTGGCGCTTCCACACGTGGCGGTGGAGGCATTGGGAGTGGACAGCAGCTGCCACGCCTCCCGGACAACCCCACCCCTCAGCAGCTTCGTAAGTGGGTTGTCCCGCGTGGTTCCTCTGGGGGCTCTGGTCGCTGCCCGTACGTTAGGCGCACAGGGAAACCGAAGGGTCAGACCTGCGGGAAGGCGCACACTGAGTATCGTTGCTTCGGCCGTCTTGAGGATGCCTGGGTGGATGGATACGGGGATGAGCTGCCAGCCCCCAACTGGCTGAAACTGTAGGGGATGGGAGTAGATGTATATGCTCTTGACTTTGTTCAGATCAACAAGGCTATCTATGCTATGTATGTGACTGAGCTTAGTGATGAGGGTGCGTTTTACTCGTATGTCCCTGGTGATGCTGGTGTCGTTGCTACTGCTCTTGGTGCTAGTGAGTCTGCTGCAGCTCTAGTGCTAGTGTGTCTGCTGTCTCAGATGCTAGTGCATCTGCTGTCTGTTGGGTGCAAATTCACATTGTACGACATCCTGCCGTCTGTTTGTACGAGTATGCGTGTGCGAATGCATTTGCGTGTGAATGGTATGTTCGTGTGTTTGTTTGCTTTCGCAATTTTTGCTTGAAGCATTTGCAGGTACTCGCACAATGTGCGCTTTGGCATAACATTGTACGTGCTATGAACAGTACAAGCAGAAAGGACGAGCTCGCAAAGGAACCCAAGATGGAAGCTTTGTGGTTCGGCTTACTTGATTGCGCAGATTCAGTTCTATCCAACTCGAAATTGTACTGTTTGGTTTGGTTGACTATAGTGTAGCAGGGCAGGCACTATAGGGGTACAATTTAGGTGAAGGTTGGATGTTGTTTGTCTGTATCTGCATGCTACAGGGCCAGGGGAAACCATCGGAACCAGCATTTGGCTGTTTGGGCAAAGACAAAACAGGTTCTGTTTTTAGGACCTGAACATGGTTGTTGTTTTCCCAGGTTGGAAAAACAAAACCAGAGGTTATTCACCAACCTACTACCTGCTATTTTTGTCCAGCCAGGTTGGTTTTGTTGCTTGGAATTATTTGGGATCATCCTTGGTTGTTCCCAGGTTGATTCTTAAGGTCCTTGCTAGCTAGAGCTATTTATTCCTTCTCTGTTTGTACCTGAATATAGTGAAATTGATTCAAGCGAATTCCTCCCTTCCTGGAATTTCGTTTCTACGCGGTGCAAGGGCAGAATGCTACCCGAGTCAACGCTAGTACGCTAGCACTCCAACGCTAGGCTAACGCTGTCCGAGCCATAACTTCGTAATGGCAGAACTTTTCGCAAGGCAACTTGGCTTATTTTAAAGCTCTTAGAGTGAGCTTCGATATAGGAAATTATCAGCTTAATCTGATCTACGGTCTGCACGATACGCTGCGCGACGTTCAAGGTACTCTTGCTGTATTGACTAAGTCCCTCTTGATCCCTCTCTCTACAAACTCGGACCCGAGGATAGGGGCTGGTCTTTTACCAGGCACCCAAGAACCCTTGGACGTGACCCGGAGGAGAGGTTTTAAGTGTGATAAAGTCTTAACAGCTTGAGTCTTTTAGGCCCTTACACCAACACTGTCACAGGAGCTAGTGACTCTGCTGCTAGTAAGTCTGCTGCCTCCGCTGAGGCAACACTTTCACACGTGACTGAGGCGCGTCTCGTTGCTTCTTTCGTGACACACTCACACCACTAGTTGCACCTGTCCTAGTCTCACTGGCTGACCCCCTCTGGGGGTCCAGTAGTCGCACGAGCCTCCACTGTCCTCCCGTGTCCAGCAGTCCCCTCTGGTTCTCTGTCAGGTCTCCACCTCCCCACGTCTCTACGAACTTGGTGAGCAACGCTGCTATTCAGGATGTCTGGATTGATACTTTAATTCCTGAAGGGCAGCGTGTGGCAATCTGTACGTGCTCCCGGACTGGCCGTTACCTAGCTACGTTCACTCAACGGCCTGGGTCTAGTCTGTACACACTAACCACTGCGTCTGCACAGGTGGTTGAGTCAGGTCAGGTGGCTGCGTCGAGTCGGGTGTCTGTGTTTGGTCAGCTTGCAGCGTCTTGCTCATGTTGGGTACTCTCTCACCAGACTCTCCTCTGGCACCACCGCCTCGGTCACCCCTCGCTGCCGCGTCTCCGCAGCATGCACTCCCGTCTCCTTGTCTCTGGCCTCCCCAGGTCCATTCCCTCCCTCCCCTGCTCGCCTGCACCGCCGTGCCTTCCCTACGTCTAGGGGGGGCAGCGCGCCGCTTCTCACTCCTCCGAGTTTCCTCCGACCACTGCTCCTCTGCAGAATCTCCACATGGACGTGTGGGGCCCGGCCTCCGTCGGTGGAACGGACCAGGAGCGCTACTTCCTGCTGGTGATTGACGGCTACTTACGCTACACCACTGTCTTCCCCTTGCAACGCAAGCGGACGTAAGTGGTGTTTTGATTCCCTGGATCCGTGCTACTCGTCGCCAGCTGCGCGAGCGGTTTTGTCGGGACTCGCCAGTCCTGCGTCTGCACTCTGACAGGCGCGGTGAGTTCTCTTCCGGCCTCCTTGAGGAGTTGTGTCGAGACGAGGGCATCCGCAAGATGTTCACGCTTCCGGCCTCTCCTTAGCAGAATGGGATTGCTGAGCGTCGCATTGGCTTGATCATGGAGGTTGCTCGTACCTCTATGATCCATGCAGCTGCTCCCCATTTTCTGTGGCCGTCTGCGGTCCGATACGCTGCACATCATCTCAACCTCTGGCCCCGTGTCTCTGAGCCAGAGACCTTGCCCACGCTCCGGTGGACGGGGAAGGTTGACAATGCATCGGTGTTTTGGGTCTTGGGCGCGCTCTCCCTTGTTGACGATGCCAAAGCGTGCAAGCTCTCCTCTCGCACTCTCCGCTGCGTCTTCCTTGGCTTCCCCACCGTCACCCCGCCGTGGCAGTTCTACCACCACCACTCGCGTCGAGTATTTTCTTCCCAATACGTGACTTTTGACGAGTCTGTTTGTTTCTACAGACTACACCCGCACGCGTCCCACCCGGTCTCCCTCGCGCCTCTTTTCCTGAAACCAGTCCCCCCCCCCGGTAGACTCCCTCCCCCCACAGGATCCTGCTCCCTCAGGTGTATCTCAGGTAGACCCACCCCCCTTGGTTGAGCCTTTGATGTGTCTCAGGTGACCCTCCTTGCCTCAGGTGTGTCTCTTCTGACCCTTCTGACCCAGCTGATGGGGGTGACCCCGCCGCTGACGACACGATGGCCACTCGCTGCTCTCCACGCTTCACGACCCCCCCTGGTTTTCCATCTCGGCCATCTTCGCCGCCTCCATAGCCTGCTGCTGTGGACTCTGCCGCTGAGACTGCTGGTGCTGAGCCTGGGGGTGCTGAAACGGAGGGTGAGGGTTCTGGGGGTGCTGCGACTAGGGGTGCAGGTTTTGGGGGTGCTACGACTGGGGGTGTTGACTCTGGGGGTGCTGCGAGTCCTTGTGGCGGTGGAGCAAGTGACCCTGCTGGAGGTACTATAGGTGCTGCTGGTGCTGGAGGTACTAGAGCTGCTACTGCTGGAGGTGCTGCTGGTGGTGGAGGTGCTAGAGGTGCTGGAGGTACTGGAGGTGCTACTGCTGGAGGTGCGGGTGGTGCTGGAGGTGCTGGAGGTACTAGAGCTGCTAGTGCTGGAGGTGCTGGAGCTGCTAGTGCTGGAGGTACTGCTGGTGCTGGAGGTGCTGGAGCTGCTACTGCTGGAGGTGCTGTTGGTGCTGGAGGTGCTGAAGGTGCTAGAGCTACTCGTGCTGGAGGTGCTGCTGGTGCTGGAAGTGCTGGAGCTGCCACTGCTAGAGGCACTGGAGGTACTGCTGGAGGTGCTGGAGGTGCTACTTGTGCTGGGGGTGCTAGAGGTGCTGGAGGTGCTGGAGCTGCTAGTGCTTGAGGTGCTGCTGGGTTCTGGGGGTGCTGGACGTGTTGGTGCGCTTCGCCACCTTCTCGGTCTTCCGCCAGCTTTTACTGAGTACCTAGTCGCTGGTACTACTCCTCCGTTACTGTTCCCACCGCTACTGCCTCACTCCCCACTGCCTGCTCCTGCTCCTTACACTGCAGTGACAAAGTCCTTGACTGAGCATCAAGAGCCAGAGACTCGTGCTTCCACTCCTGAGCGTAGAGAGCCTGTTCCTGCTCGAGTTCGTCGTGTGCGTTGTCCTCGTACTCCGTCTGTCCCAGGCACTCACGATATGACACTCCATCCTTCCTCTGTTCCACAGCATGTTGTCCTACTGTCACCTCCTGCGTCTTCTCTTCCTGACGTTGCTGACCCTCCGTCTGACCTTGCTCGTGCTTTCAATTCGACTGTCACTCGCTTGTTGGCTACAATTATGACGGACCCTACGTTCTCGGCTCCTGCTGCCTCTGCCTTAGTCGCTGAGCTAGTTGACTTTGCTGCTGCGCGCCGCCTAGACTACCTTGCGAGTCTTGTTTCTGACCCTGGCCCTGCCTGTCCTCCGTCTGTCGGGGGTGAGGTTGCCCTTAGCTGTGACGTTCTTGAGGACAGACAGGAAGAGCTGGAGTGTATTGCGGCTGCTGTACCTCATCTCGCGAGCATGGTCCTTGCCCCAGAGGGAGACCCGAATGCAGTTGACATTTCCACCCCGCGCTCTTACACAGAGGCGATCTCGGGTGAGTACTCCTCTCAGTGGCAGACAGCCATGGACACAGAGATAGCTTCCTATAAGTACACAAGAACCTAAGTTGACGAGGTTCCCCCACCTGGGGCAAACATCGTCAGTGGCATGTGGATTTTCGGGTTGAAGACGCCGCCGGGTTCTTCGCCTGCCTTCAAGGCACGTTACGTTGCTCGAGGCTTCAGTCAGGGTGAGGAGTTGACTTCTTTCAGACCTTCTCCCCCACCCCAAAGATGACCACTCTTCAGGTGTTACTACACGTTGCAGCTCAGCATCACTACGAGCTGCACTCCCTCGACTTCTCGACAACTTTCTTGCAGGGTAGCCTTCACGAGGCCATCTGGCTGCGACGTCCACCTGGCTTCACTGGGTCGTTTCCTGAGAGTACGCAGTGAAGCCTACGGCGACCAGTGTACGGCCTCTGTCAAGCACCTCGCGAGTGGCATGACACACTGTGGACGACACTTGCGGCTCTTAGGTTTGCTCCTTCGACTGCTGACCCGTCGCTGTTTCTGCGCACTGACACTACCCTGCCGCTGTTCTTCGACTCGTGTACGTCGAGAACTTGGTCTTTGCTACTGCTGACACATGGACGCTGGCTCTAGTGAAGGCGAAGCTGCAGGAGAGACAC